TGTTGACTAGGTATTCTGGATATGGTAACTAGAGTTACCTTAAATACGTAATCCTCCATAAAACTAGTATAACTGGTTGAAGGCAAGAGGTATAACATTGCATTCTTCTCAACATTTCTCATTTCTTGTTGCAATAATGAGCTAATTCTGTCAATGGGTAGTAGTACCTAGTTTACTACAAAACGAGAAATAAGAAAAGATTACTAGAATAAATATTTGACACCAGGATGGTGAAAAAAAAAACCCAGTCTTTTCAAATAGAAACTCTTATATCCTATGGGATTAATAAGTTAGAATTAGTACTGGCACTATCTCTATGAGATGTGGATTTCATTTTGGGGATGGGGTACATACTCCATAGATGAACTGTTGGGTCAAATGGTAGATCTATTTCGATTTTCCAAGGAACAATTATAATGTTTTTCATAATGGCTGTACCAGTTACATGTCTGTCAAAAGAGTGTAAAGATCCACACTTTTCTGCACACCCTAAAAGGGTTTCGTTTTCTCCACACGGTTGCCATCATTACTTTTTATCTCTTGACTTTTTGATAATACCCGTCCTAACAGGTGTGAGGTGATAGTTCATTGTGGTTTTCATTTGCATTCTCTGATTAATTAATGATGTTAAACACATTTTCATATACCTGTTGGGCAGCTGTGGGTTGTCTTTTGAGAATTGTCTATTCAAGTTTTTTGCCTATTTGTTAACCAGACTATTTGCTTTATGTACTATTGAGCTGTGTGAATTCTTTTTTCTTTCTTTTTTTTTTCTTTTGAGACGGAGTTTTGCTCGTTACCCAGGCTGGAGTGCAAAGGCGCGATCTCGGCTCACCGCAACCTCTGCCTCCTGGGTTTAGGCAATTCTCCTGCCTCAGCCTCCTGAGTAGCTGGGATTACAGGCACATTTCACCGTGCCCAGCTAATTTTTTGTATTTTTAGTAGAGACGAGGTTTCACCATGTTGACCAGGATGGTCTCGATCTCTTGACCTTGTGATCCACCCGCCTCAGCCTCCCAAAGTGTAATTCTTTACATATTTTGTGTATTAACTCGTTATTAGATATATGGTTTGCAAATAGTTTCTCCCAAACCATATCCTGGCTTTTGATTTTGTTGATTCTCGATTGTACACAAGCTTTTAGTTTCCAGCCTGCTCACTTGCCTGGTATATTTCAGCCTCCTAGACTTCCGACAATGTGTGAATATTTGAGACAATTTCTTAGAGTAAACCGTGACATATATATATATATAATATTATTCATAAATACGATATACTAGTAAATAGATGTTTATGATAGACGTTACACACACACACACACATCCTGTTGATTTAGTTTTCCTTCTCAGAGGAACCCAGTCTGATACAGTTACACAGTTGAGCAAGTGTGTTTGCTGATCTTAACTGCTTGAAGCCACGTTTGGGGCACTCTGTGGGCACTGGGATAAGAAAGGGAAATGAATACATTCTTTCACAGCATCCAAGAAGTGAATGGTCCTCGAGGATCAGCAGACGAATTTGTAGGAGAGAGAGATGATTGACATCTTCACATAGCCTTACACCTGTCCCAGTTAACATGGAGGAGGTTGAGGTAGGTCATACAGAAACTGGGTAACGATGGAAGGTGGGAGGGAACAGAATGTACCACTGAATGGGGGGGAGTCCAGGGGAAACATCTGGAGGAAACACTCTCCCGTGCCACGTGATCTGCTAAAATTGAACATGGGGAGGTTAAGAGGGGTGACAAGTCAGTTTAGAAACTATCTTTAGAAGTGCTATCCATAATCTCCCTTTCTCCAATCACAGCATCTTGCCTTCCTCATCAAATGCCACCCCCCGCCCTCCACACACACACATATCTTTGGCCATGTCCCGATGGTGCTGTGTGACGTCTAAGCCCGTCCTTCCCGCCCAGGGCTACCATTGGCTGGGTGGCGGCGTGCTGACCAATCAAAGCTAAGGGACGTGGTCGCGGCATTGTCCTGGGATCCCGGGGGGGGGGGGCACGTACAGGTAGAGAAGGCAGCCTGACGTTGACGTTGGAGATGTTGATTTGAGCAAGATGGCGCCAAAGACGAGAGCCTCAGGACCCCCGGCCAAGGCGAAGTGCATGTGAAGGAGGAGCCAGTGGGTGAGCCCGACTCACTAAGCCAGGAGACCCAGCTGGAGGATCCACTGAGTGATGTAATCACCATCTCCATCTCGTCGGATCCACCGAGTGACGTGATCAACATCTCCACCTCGTACGTCAGCAGTAACTAAGTTCAGGCCGAGTTGGCAGGAGACATCAGAGATCTCACCAGTGGGGGGGGGGTGCCCCCTTGCTGATGTCAATAAATCCAATGTGTTGCAAAATGACCCCAGTGACTGTGTTATCTGATGGTGGGAAGGGAGGGAGACAGAGGTGGTGTGTGGGGAGGGAGGGAGGGAGACAGAGATGGTGTGTGGGGGCAGACGGAGGGAGGGAGAGAGTAGGCTCAGTTCATATAGAGAAGCGTTTTTTTTGTTTGTTTTTTGTTTTTTTTCTTTGAGACAGAGATTCATTCTTGTTGCCCAGGATGGAGTGCAGTGGTGCAATCTTGGCTCACTGTAATCTTTGGCTCCTGGATTCAAGCGATTCTTTGGTTCAGCCTCCTGAGTAGCTGGGATTACAAGCACCTGCCACACCACACTGGGCTAATTTTTGTACTTTTCGCAAAGACGGGGTTTTGCCATGCTGGCCAGGCTTGTCTGGAACTCCTGGCGTCAGGTAACCCACCCACCTCGGCTTCCCAAAGTGCTGGGATTACAGGTGAGAACCACCACGTCTGGCCTGGAAGGTTTTATGAAAACAGCTGTTACCTATTTCTTGAAAGAAAATGTTTTTACTGGCAGAAAAGTGTTCTTCTACATGTTATATACACCGATAAATTAGTTAATAAATAGTTGAAAAATTTTGGGGGGTATGGGGCCCTGGACACCGGTCCACTGGAGTGGGAAAAAAGCCACGCAGAATAGAAACAGAATTGAGGACGTTTCAGGGAGAGGAGTAAGAAAAAGCGCTAGAGTAGCGAGCTGATATGTAATTTTGAATCATAACTAGATTGAGAATTTGATACAACTCAAAATTAGATAAGAGTAATTCCAGTAAAAAAAATAGAGAAGAGGCCAGGCGTGGTGGCTCACTCCTGTAATTCCAGTGCTTTGGGAGGCCGAGGCTGGTGGATCACCTGAGGTCAGGAGTTCAAGATCAGCCTGGCTAACAAGGTGAAACACGGTCTCTACTAAAATACAAAAGTTAGCCAGATGTGGTGGCATGTGCCGGTAGTCCCAGCTACTCAGAAGGCTGAGGCAGAACAACTGAACCTGGGAGGTGGAGGCTGCCGTGAACTAAGATCACGCCACTGCACTTCAACCTGGAAAAGAAAGCAAGACCCTGTCTCCAAAAAAAAACAATAAGGAGGGTAAAAAAAGTATTAATAACAAATTAAATTATTCATCCAAAAATTATTTATTGGGGACCAACCGTGGTCCAGGCAGTGGGCTAGATACTATTCGAAAAATAATCATCGCTGTCATGACTGAGCAATGCATGCGAGGCATCCTTAGAATGGTCCTGGAAGATAGATGGGGCTTCCTTATTCCACCCTGAGTTTACAAAAGATGACCCAGGTATGTCCTAACTGCTGCCAAATAAACCCAGAGGGAGCACACAAACCTCCCAAACCATAGGCTGCCTTTTAATTTTGTTGACTGTCAACTGTGCAGAAGCTTTTAGTTTCCAGACTGCTCACCTGTGCTACATATTTCAGCCTTCCAGACTGCCACATTGTGTGAATGTGTGAGACAATTCCTTACAGTGAACCGTATCATATACATAATATCATTCAGAAACAAATATGATATGATAGTAAATAGATGTTTATGATGTATATTACACACACACACACACACACACACACACACACACACAAACACAATACCCTGTTGGGTTAGTTTCTCCTTCTCTGAGGAACCCAGCTTGATACAGATAAGCAGCAGAGACAGTGTGTTTGCTGAGCTTGACCCCCTGACGCCAGTGCTTTAAACCATGAGAATGAAACATTTAGGGGCAATCTGTGGGCACTGGGATAAGAAAGGGAAATGGATAAGTTCTTTCACAGCATCCAAGAAGTGAATGGTCCTCGAGGATCAGCAGACGAATGTGTAGGAGAGGGAGATGATTGCCATCTTCACAGAGCCTTACACCTGTCCCAGTTAGCATGGAGGAGGTTGAGGTAGGTCATACAGAAACTGGGTAATGATGGAAGGTGGGAGGGAACAGAATGTACCACTGAATGGGGGGGGTCCTGGGGAAACATCTGGAGGAACACCCTCCCGTGCCACGTGATCTGCCAAAATTGAACATGGGGAGGTGAAGTGGGGTGACATGTCAGTTGGGAACCATCTTTAGGAGTGCTAACCATAATCTCCCTTTCTCCAATCATAGCATCCTGCCGTCCTCATCAAATGCCACCCCACCCCCACACTTCTTCGGCCATGTCCCGGCGGTGCTGTGTGACGTCTAAGCCCGTCCTTCCCGCCCAGGCTACCATTGGCTGGGTGGTGGCATGCTGACCAATCAAAGCTCAGAAACGTGGTTGCCTCATTGTCGTGGACGAAAGGGGCACGTACACGTAGACCAGGCAGCCTGACATTGACGTTGGAGACGTTGAGTTGAGCAAGATGGCGCCAAAGAAGAGAGCCTCGGGACCGCCGGCCAAGGCCGGGGAGACGCGAAAGAGGAAGTCCTCTTCTGAGGCGAGTCCCAGTACCCCGAAGAAGGTGAGTGACCCACCCGAGCTCCTCCTCGTCTTCCCCTTGATTCCTTCCTCAAGATTCCTGCCCTGTCCTCACCTGGCACAACCCCCAGCCCGGCCCTCACCGCTTCTCAGGAAACGTCCCTGTTCCCAGCCTCCTCCATCCTCTCCCCTGACCCGGACAGAGCCCCACTGTGATCTCCCTGTTGTCCTTCCAGACGCCCAAGGTGGGCAAGAGAGGAAAAGCAGGTCCTGGAGGGAGAGGCGGGAAGAAACGTGCCGCTGGGAAAAAGATGGCAGCCGTGGGAGCCCCTGAGGCAGGGAGCGGGCCAGCACCACCCGGGCCCAGCCAGCCGCCGAGCCAGGAGCTTCCTCCATGCAAAGTGCCTGTGAAGGAGGAGCCAGTGGGCGAGCCCGACCCACTGAGCCAGGAGACCCAGCTGGAGGATCCACTGAGCCAGGAGACCCAGCTGGAGGAGCCACTGAGTGACGTGATGACCGTCTCCACCTCGTCGGAGCCACTGAGTGACGTGATGACCTTTGAGTTGAGCAAGATGGCGCCAAAGAAAAGAGCCTCGGTACCGCCGGCCAAGGCCGGGGAGACGCGAAAGAGGAAGTCCTCTTCTGAGGTGAGTACCAGTACCCCGAAGAAGGTGAGTGACCCACCCGAGCTCCTCCTCGTCTTCCCCTTGATTCCTTCCTCAAGATTCCTGCCCTGTCGTCACCTGGCACAACCCCAGCCCGGCCCTCACCGCTTCTCAGGAAATGTCCCTGTTCCCAGCCTCCTCCATCCTCTCCCCTGACCCGGACAGAGCCCCACTGTGATCTCCCTGTTGCCCTTCCAGATGCCCAAGGTGGGCAAGAGAGGAAAAGTAGGTCCTGGAGGGAGAGGCGGGAAGAAAACGTGCCGCTGGGAAAAAAGATGGCAGCCGTGGGAGCCCCTGAGGCAGGGAGCGGGCCAGCACCACCCGGGCCCAGCCAGCCGCCGAGCCAGGAGCTTCCTCCATGCAAAGTGCCTGTGAAGGAGGAGCCAGTGGGCGAGCCCGACCCACTGAGCCAGGAGACCCAGCTGGAGGAGCCACTGAGTGACGTGATGACCGTCTCCACCTCGTCGGAGCCACTGAGTGACGTGATGACCGTCTCCACCTCGTCGGATCTACCGAGTGACGTGATGACCGTCTCCGCCTCGTCCCTCAGCAGCGACTAAGTTCAGGCCCAGCTGCCAGGAGACTCGGAGATCTCACCAGCGCAGGGGGCGCCCCCATGCTGATGTCAATAAATCCAATGTGTTGCAAAATGATCCCAGTGACTGTGTTCTCTGATGGTGGGGAGGGAGGGAGGGAGGGAGGGAGGGAGGGAGGGAGGGAGGGAAAGGTGATGTGTGGGGGGAGGGGGGAGAGGGAGGGGGGAGAGGGAGGGAGGGAGGGAGGGAGGGAAAGGTGATGTGTGGGGGGGAGAGGGAGGGAGGAAGAGGTGGTGTATGGGGCGGAGGGAAGAATGGGTGGTGTGTGGAGGGGGTAGGAAGTGGGGTCCTACGAGGTTGATGTCAGAGAGACAGGTCACAGCCAGACAGGAGGATAAGGACTGCATCAGAGTTGAGCACTGGAGACAAATTTCCCCTGCACAGGATGACTCCTCGTCTTGTAAGGCTTCTTTCTTCATGCAATCTTGCTAGCTCATACATCAAGTACCAAGAATCAGATTCTACCTACTTAGGTTTCATTGTTAAAGTACCTTTTCATTCATAGAAACCGATGGAAGAATCCTCTTTCCTTTCAGCATCCTCTCCCTACAATCTAATATAATTAAGAAGAAAAATTCAAAGTAGAGTAAAATCTATTTGAAAAAAGCTATTTTATTTTTGCAACTGAGGACACAAAAAGTACATTTCATATTTCCATACATTAGAAATACACAGGTCTTTTCTATATATAGTAGAACTTACTATATAAGAATATATAAGTAAATGAAATATATACAACTATATTATTTACAAATATATAGATTATATATGTATAAAATATATAAATACAAATATGGATTATATGTCTATAAATACAGATGTCTACATACATTAGAAATACACGTTTTTTTCTATATATACTAGAACCTACTATATATTTATATATTAACTTCTTCATATATACACATAGATTATATATAGAAATATTTATATTATATATAAAACATATTTATATGTTATATATAATCATTTATTTTAGAAGGTAAGGCGTTATGATTGTTGAAGCATGGTTCACAGGCAAAAAGAGAAAGAAAATAACCACTTTAAGAAGAATAAACTACAAAATTTTTCACTACTCAATACCCAGTTGTCCATCATTGCAATGAGAGAATAATATAGAACTTGCTATGTGTAGAAAAGACCTGTGTATTTGTAATGTCTATATGTGTAATCTACATTCATATATAGTTATATAAATGCACAGGTCTTTTCTATATATAGTATTATTTGCTGCTACTGTATTCCTAATGTGTATATATATATAAAATACATATTTGTAAATATTTATATACATGGGTTTTTATATAAACACACAGGTCTTTGCTATATACAGAAAAGACCTGTGTATTCCTAATGTGTGCATGTATATATATGTATATATATATGATTTGTTTTTATCTTTATATATTTGTATATAATTACCTCTATATATGTATATTTATATATTTATTTTTATATATTTAGGTTTATGTGGCTAGATTTCATATATAGATTATATATATAAATATTTATATTTTATATAAATTTATCAATACAAAGATAAAATATAAATATATATTTATATTGTTATATAATGTATAAATATAACTATATATCATATATAAAATATATATTCTATTTGTGATCATTTACTTTAGGAGGTAAGGTGTTATGATTGTCGAAGCATGGTTCTCAGGCAAACGAGAAAGAAAATTATCATTTTAAAAGGAATAGAGTAAAAAATTATCGCGATTTAATTTCCAGTTGTCAATAATTACATGCACAGAATAACTCATAACCTTTAATCTTATAATGAATAGCACATTAAACTTTTATGTGATTATGGAAACGTGAATTTCCATGTAATAAGGGCGTGGGTTGTGAAGCACTGGCTTTATAGGCAGTTTCCATGTGTTACGCTGTACCACAGAAACAGGGCCTTCCCCCATGTCCTGAACACCATCATTTTGTGGTGTATTTCTTTTGTATTTCATATATGGACATACCATATAAGGACGAGCATGCTTGGTATAACTCAAAGCCTGTGTATTTGCAAGGCTGTATTGACCCTGAACAATAACTATTTGTATGTTATGGACGGGAAACAAGTCCCAGTGCAAAGCTCCTGCTGTCCTTTAGGAAAGCCTATTGGCCGTGGTTGTACGTCTCTTTCCAAAGGGAGGTTGGTGAACTTTCTGCTACAGTTTTTCCATAATGACAGCATAAAAACTGCAATAAACGAAGTCTTGTCAGTGGTCACTTTTGGGCTTGTTGAATATTAGGGAGCACTTTAGCAGTGTGTTTCAAAATTACATTCAATAATTAATTTTGTGTACCTATTTTAATGCCATATTGCCATTCAAGCTCTGCAAGCCAAACGGTCTGTGACGATTCTTTTGGCATTTAAAAATTACACGTGGCCCTTACACCGTGTTTTCTCATCACCTGATGGTAGTTGGAGCTTCAACTGCTATTTATTGGGAACCCATCCTGACTAGCTCTTTCACTGGGGCTTCATGTTTTATTGTGATGATTGGCAGACTGGTGTTTCAGGCATTTTCAGCTTTGAAAAAAATTACTACGCTTTTGAAATTATAGATGCCAAAGGTCACGGAATTTATTTTCACAAACTTTTAATTCATTATAGACAATAAATGGTTCAATCACAAATCAGTAATTTAAATAATCTTTTAGTTTGTTGGAGCATTCACAAATACTACATCTTCATTTAAGTCTTTCTTTATTCTACATGTTAAATACACAGTAAAATTAGTTAATAAGAGTGTTAAATATTTTCCCTCCTTCTCCAACTACCCACAAGCTCAGGCTTAAAATAAACATTGGAATGAGTAAAGAAGTAATACATCAGCAAAACTGCAGTTGACTTTTATAATAAAATAATAGATATCAAGCTTCCTGACGTTTTTAGGCAAATCTTCCTGTGTCCCTAAAGGGCGGATCCCCTTGACAACAGTCACCAACAACAGGTAATCTTGATGTTCTCAGCTGTCAAGGACAGTCGGTGGGAAAATTTGAAAACACCTTGTACATATTAAAGAGCTAAGTATGAGATGATGTAGACATACATATGTCTCTTTCTCATTAGACCGCAGGAAACAGAACACACGGCAGGAAGGCTCATGTCGATTCCCCTTGACCATGCAGCTTCCTCTGCTCCTGACTCCTGAGAACTTTCTCACCTTTGCTCACTCCCAGCTTCAGATTCCCACAGGTAAGGATTGATTTTAGCCCCTCGTCAATACTACCTGGGACACCGAATTGCTCTCAAGAAAACACTCTGGAATTGAAAAAATGACAGGAAAAGATCAACACGATGGCTGGGTGCCGGAGGCAAGGCCTTCCACTGTTTTAAGCCCTGACACTAAGCTCTAGAATAGCTGCAGCTGCAGCCTATAGGACATGGGCATGTGTCAGGCAGGCTGTGAAATGCTGCCTGCTCCCCATGCACGACCTCATTGCTCCCTCACATCACCCCTATGGATTAATCGGGGCTCTTGAGAGACACCACCAACAGGATATCAGCAAAGATGGATGAGAGCAGATTTATTAAAGGAATTGGAGGATGAAAAGTCTCAGGACAGGCTTTCTGCAAGCTGGAGCCCCTGGGATGCCAGGAGTGTGACTCAGTTCACATCCAAAAGCCTCAGAACCAGGGAAGTGGATGGTGTAACTCTCAGTATGAAAAGAGCCTGCAGTTGTGGTGTCCACGGGCAGGAAAAGAAGAGTCCCAGCTCCAGGAGAGAAAGGGAGGAAAGCGCCTTTCCTCTGCCCTGTTTCCTCTATCTGGGCCTCAGAGAATTGGATGGGGCCTGTCTCTACTAAAGACATCTTCCTCACTCTGTCCACCAGCTCACACCAATCTTCCTGGGAATACCTGCGGGCTCACTCAGAAACAATGCTTTACCAATTCCTGATGTATTCCTTAAGGCAGCCACGTGGACACCTGAAATTAACCATCGCACCCTGTAAAATGGGTACTATCCCGCTGGGACACCTGAGATAGACAGCTTGAGTACCTTTCTTATGGTGCTTATAGGTTACAGAGTCAGGATTAAAACTCAAGTCTGCAAAGATCAAATTCCAAACTCTACCGTCTCAAGGACTACTGCTCAATGCTGCAGAAGCAGCACTGTATTACACACTGTAGGAGGACTGAAGAGGCACTCGAGGCACGTCCCCTGGTTTAGGGGCCACATCTTAGCTGACATTCATGAAAGGAGTCCCCAGAACCAAGTGTGAATTCGCACACTTTATGTGTGCATAAGCGCTACAGAAATTCTATGAGCAAGATAATTGTAGGCTCAGTTCATATAGAGAAGAGTTTTTGTTTGTTTGTTTGTTTGTTTGTTTGTTTGTTTGTTTTTGAGACAGAGATTCACTCTTGTTGCCCAGGCTGGAGCGCAGTGGTGCAATGTTGGCTCACTGTAATCTTTGTCTCCTGGATTCAAGCGATTCTTTGCTTCAGCCTCCTGAGTAGCTGGGATTACAAGCACCTACCACACCACACTGGGCTAAGTTTTGTCCCTTTTGGTAAAGACGGGGTTTTGCCATGTTGGCCAGGCTTATCTGAAACTCCTGGCCTCAGGTGACCCACCCACCTCGGCCTCCCAAAGTGCTGGGATTACAGGTGAGAACCACCATGTCTGGCCCGGAAGGTTTTATGAAAACAGCTGTTACCTATTTTCTTGAAAGAAAATGTTTTTACTGGCAGAAAGGTGTTCTTCTACATGTTATATACACAGTTAAATTAGTTAATAACTAGTTGAAGGGTTTTGGGGGGTATGAGGCCCTGGACACCGGTCCACGGGAGTGGGAAAAAAGCCAGGCAGAATAGAAACAGAATTGAGGACGTTTCAGGGAGAGGAGTAAGGAAAAGCGCTAGACTAGCAAGCTGATATGTAATTTTGAATCTTAACTAGATTGAGAATCTGATACAACTCAAAATTTGATAAGAGTAATTGCAGTGAAAAAAAAAATAGAGAAGAGGCCAGGCGTGGTGGCTCACTCCTGTAATCCCAGTGCTTTGTGAGGCAGAGGCTGGTGGATCACCTGAGGTCAGGAGTTCAAGATCAGCCTGGCTAACAAGGTGAAACACTGTCTCTACTAAAATACAAAAGTTAGCCAGATGTGGTGGCATGTGCCGGTAGTCCCAGCTACTCAGAAGGCTGAGGCAGAATAACTGAACCTGGGAGGTGGAGGCTGCCGTAAACTAAGATCACGCCACTGCACTTCAACCTGGAAAAGAAAGCAAGACCCTGTCTCCAAAAAAAAACAATAAGGAGGGTAAAAAAAGTATTAATACAAATTAAATTATTCATCCAAAAATTATTTATTGGGGACCAACCGTGGTCCAGGCAGTGGGCTAGATACTATTCGAAAAATAATCATCGCTGTCATGACTGAGCAATGCATGCGAGGCATCCTTAGAATGGTCCTGGAAGATAGATGGGGCTTCCTTATTCCACCCTGAGTTTACAAAAGATGACCCAGGTATGTCCTACCTGCTGCCAAATAAACCCAGAGGGAGCACACAAACCTCCCAAACCATAGGCTGCCTTTTAATTTTGTTGACTGTCAACTGTGCAGAAGCTTTTAGTTTCCAGACTGCTCACCTGCGCTACATATTTCAGCCTTCCAGACTGCCACATTGTGTGAATGTGTGAGACAATTCCTTACAGTGAACCGTATCATATACATAATATCATTCAGAAACAAATATGATATGATAGTAAATAGATGTTTATGATGTATATTACACACACACACACACACACACACACACACACACAAACACAATACCCTGTTGGGTTAGTTTCTCCTTCTCTGAGGAACCCAGCTTGATACAGATAAGCAGCAGAGACAGTGTGTTTGCTGAGCTTGACCCCCTGACGCCAGTGCTTTAAACCATGAGAATGAAACATTTAGGGGCAATCTGTGGGCACTGGGATAAGAAAGGGAAATGGATAAGTTCTTTCACAGCATCCAAGAAGTGAATGGTCCTCGAGGATCAGCAGACGAATGTGTAGGAGAGGGAGATGATTGCCATCTTCACAGAGCCTTACACCTGTCCCAGTTAGCATGGAGGAGGTTGAGGTAGGTCATACAGAAACTGGGTAATGATGGAAGGTGGGAGGGAACAGAATGTACCACTGAATGGGGGGGTCCTGGGGAAACATCTGGAGGAAACACCCTCCCGTGCCACGTGATCTGCCAAAATTGAACATGGGGAGGTGAAGTGGGGTGACATGTCAGTTGGGAACCATCTTTAGGAGTGCTAACCATAATCTCCCTTTCTCCAATCATAGCATCCTGCCGTCCTCATCAAATGCCACCCCACCCCCACACTTCTTCGGCCATGTCCCGGCGGTGCTGTGTGACGTCTAAGCCCGTCCTTCCCGCCCAGGGCTACCATTGGCTGGGTGGTGGCATGCTGACCAATCAAAGCTCAGAAACGTGGTTGCCTCATTGTCGTGGACGAAAGGGGCACGTACACGTAGACCAGGCAGCCTGACATTGACGTTGGAGACGTTGAGTTGAGCAAGATGGCGCCAAAGAAGAGAGCCTCGGGACCGCCGGCCAAGGCCGGGGAGACGCGAAAGAGGAAGTCCTCTTCTGAGGCGAGTCCCAGTACCCCGAAGAAGGTGAGTGACCCACCCGAGCTCCTCCTCGTCTTCCCCTTGATTCCTTCCTCAAGATTCCTGCCCTGTCCTCACCTGGCACAACCCCCAGCCCGGCCCTCACCGCTTCTCAGGAAACGTCCCTGTTCCCAGCCTCCTCCATCCTCTCCCCTGACCCGGACAGAGCCCCACTGTGATCTCCCTGTTGTCCTTCCAGACGCCCAAGGTGGGCAAGAGAGGAAAAGCAGGTCCTGGAGGGAGAGGCGGGAAGAAACGTGCCGCTGGGAAAAAGATGGCAGCCGTGGGAGCCCCTGAGGCAGGGAGCGGGCCAGCACCACCCGGGCCCAGCCAGCCGCCGAGCCAGGAGCTTCCTCCATGCAAAGTGCCTGTGAAGGAGGAGCCAGTGGGCGAGCCCGACCCACTGAGCCAGGAGACCCAGCTGGAGGATCCACTGAGCCAGGAGACCCAGCTGGAGGAGCCACTGAGTGACGTGATGACCGTCTCCACCTCGTCGGAGCCACTGAGTGACGTGATGACCTTTGAGTTGAGCAAGATGGCGCCAAAGAAAAGAGCCTCGGTACCGCCGGCCAAGGCCGGGGAGACGCGAAAGAGGAAGTCCTCTTCTGAGGTGAGTCCCAGTACCCCGAAGAAGGTGAGTGACCCACCCGAGCTCCTCCTCGTCTTCCCCTTGATTCCTTCCTCAAGATTCCTGCCCTGTCCTCACCTGGCACAACCCCCAGCCCGGCCCTCACCGCTTCTCAGGAAACGTCCCTGTTCCCAGCCTCCTCCATCCTCTCCCCTGACCCGGACAGAGCCCCACTGTGATCTCCCTGTTGCCCTTCCAGATGCCCAAGGTGGGCAAGAGAGGAAAAGTAGGTCCTGGAGGGAGAGGCGGGAAGAAACGTGCCGCTGGGAAAAAGATGGCAGCCGTGGGAGCCCCTGAGGCAGGGAGCGGGCCAGCACCACCCGGGCCCAGCCAGCCGCCGAGCCAGGAGCTTCCTCCATGCAAAGTGCCTGTGAAGGAGGAGCCAGTGGGCGAGCCCGACCCACTGAGCCAGGAGACCCAGCTGGAGGAGCCACTGAGTGACGTGATGACCGTCTCCACCTCGTCGGAGCCACTGAGTGACGTGATGACCGTCTCCACCTCGTCGGATCTACCGAGTGACGTGATGACCGTCTCCGCCTCGTCCCTCAGCAGCGACTAAGTTCAGGCCCAGCTGCCAGGAGACTCGGAGATCTCACCAGCGCAGGGGGCGCCCCCATGCTGATGTCAATAAATCCAATGTGTTGCAAAATGATCCCAGTGACTGTGTTCTCTGATGGTGGGGAGGGAGGGAGGGAGGGAGGGAGGGAGGGAGGGAGGGAGGGAAAGGTGATGTGTGGGGGAGGGGGGAGAGGGAGGGGGGAGAGGGAGGGAGGGAGGGAGGGAGGGAAAGGTGATGTGTGGGGGGGAGAGGGAGGGAGGAAGGGGTGGTGTATGGGGCGGAGGGAAGAATGGGTGGTGTGTGGAGGGGGTAGGAAGTGGGGTCCTACGAGGTTGATGTCAGAGAGACAGGTCACAGCCAGACAGGAGGATAAGGACTGCATCAGAGTTGAGCACTGGAGACAAATTTCCCCTGCACAGGATGACTCCTCGTCTTGTAAGGCTTCTTTCTTCATGCAATCTTGCTAGCTCATACATCAAGTACCAAGAATCAGATTCTACCTACTTAGGTTTCATTGTTAAAGTACCTTTTCATTCATAGAAACCGATGGAAGAATCCTCTTTCCTTTCAGCATCCTCTCCCTACAATCTAATATAATTAAGAAGAAAAATTCAAAGTAGAGTAAAATCTATTTGAAAAAAGCTATTTTATTTTTGCAACTGAGGACACAAAAAGTACATTTCATATTTCCATACATTAGAAATACACAGGTCTTTTCTATATATAGTAGAACTTACTATATAAGAATATATAAGTAAATGAAATATATACAACTATATTATTTACAAATATATAGATTATATATGTATAAAATATATAAATACAAATATGGATTATATGTCTATAAATACAGATGTCTACATACATTAGAAATACACGTTTTTTCTATATATACTAGAACCTACTATATATTTATATATTAACTTCTTCATATATACACATAGATTATATATAGAAATATTTATATTATATATAAAACATATTTATATGTTATATATAATCATTTATTTTAGAAGGTAAGGCGTTATGATTGTTGAAGCATGGTTCACAGGCAAAAAGAGAAAGAAAATAACCACTTTAAGAAGAATAAACTACAAAATTTTTCACTACTCAATACCCAGTTGTCCATCATTGCAATGAGAGAATAATATAGAACTTGCTATGTGTAGAAAAGACCTGTGTATTTGTAATGTCTATATGTGTAATCTACATTCATATATAGTTATATAAATGCACAGGTCTTTTCTATATATAGTATTATTTGCTGCTACTGTATTCCTAATGTGTATATATATATAAAATACATATTTGTAAATATTTATATACATGGGTTTTTATATAAACACACAGGTCTTTGCTATATACAGAAAAGACCTGTGTATTCCTAATGTGTGCATGTATATATATGTATATATATATGATTTGTTTTTATCTTTATATATTTGTATATAATTACCTCTATATATGTATATTTATATATTTATTTTTATATATTTAGGTTTATGTGGCTAGATTTCATATATAGATTATATATATATAAATATTTATATTTTATATAAATTTATCAATACAAAGATAAAATATAAATATATATTTATATTGTTATATAATGTATAAATATAACTATATATCATATATAAAATATATATTCTATTTGTGATCATTTACTTTAGGAGGTAAGGTGTTATGATTGTCGAAGCATGGTTCTCAGGCAAACGAGAAAGAAAATTATCATTTTAAAAGGAATAGAGTAAAAAATTATCGCGATTTAATTTCCAGTTGTCAATAATTACATGCACAGAATAACTCATAACCTTTAATCTTATAATGAATAGCACATTAAACTTTTATGTGATTATGGAAACGTGAATTTCCATGTAATAAGGGCGTGGGTTGTGAAGCACTGGCTTTATAGGCAGTTTCCATGTGTTACGCTGTACCACAGAAACAGGGCCTTCCCCCATGTCCTGAACACCATCATTTTGTGGTGTATTTCTTTTGTATTTCATATATGGACATACCATATAAGGACGAGCATGCTTGGTATAACTCAAAGCCTGTGTATTTGCAAGGCTGTATTGACCCTGAACAATAACTATTTGTATGTTATGGACGGGAAACAAGTCCCAGTGCAAAGCTCCTGCTGTCCTTTAGGAAAGCCTATTGGCCGTGGTTGTACGTCTCTTTCCAAAGGGAGGTTGGTGAACTTTCTGCTACAGTTTTTCCATAATGACAGCATAAAAACTGCAATAAACGAAGTCTTGTCAGTGGTCACTTTTGGGCTTGTTGAATATTAGGGAGCACTTTAGCAGTGTGTTTCAAAATTACATTCAATAATTAATTTTGTGTACCTTATTTTAATGCCATATTGCCATTCAAGCTCTGCAAGCCAAAACGGTCTGTGACGATTCTTTTGGCATTTAAAAAATTACACGTGGCCCTTACACCGTGTTTTCTCATCACCTGATGGTAGTTGGAGCTTCAACTGCTATTTATTGGGAACCCATCCTGACTAGCTCTTTCACTGGGGCTTCATGTTTTATTGTGATGATTGGCAGACTGGTGTTTCAGGCATTTTCAGCTTTGAAAAAAATTACTACGCTTTTGAAATTATAGATGCCAAAGGTCACGGAATTTATTTTCACAAACTTTTAATTCATTATAGACAATAAATGGTTCAATCACAAATCAGTAATTTAAATAATCTTTTAGTTTGTTGGAGCATTCACAAATACTACATCTTCATTTAAGTCTTTCTTTATTCTACATGTTAAATACACAGTAAAATTAGTTAATAAGAGTGTTAAATATTTTCCCTCCTTCTCCAACTACCCACAAGCTCAGGCTTAAAATAAACATGGAATGAGTAAAGAAGTAATACATCAGCAAAACTGCAGTTGACTTTTATAATAAAATAATAGATATCAAGCTTCCTGACGTTTTTTAGGCAAATCTTCCTGTGTCCCTAAAGGGCGGATCCCCTTGACAACAGTCACCAACAACAGGTAATCTTGATGTTCTCAGCTGTCAAGGACAGTCGGTGGGAAAATTTGAAAACACCTTGTACATATTAAAGAGCTAAGTATGAGATGATGTAGACATACATATGTCTCTTTCTCATTAGACCGCAGGAAACAGAACACACGGCAGGAAGGCTCATGTCGATTCCCCTTGACCATGCAGCTTCCTCTGCTCCTGACTCCTGAGAACTTTCTCACCTTTGCTCACTCCCAGCTTCAGATTCCCACAGGTAAGGATTGATTTTAGCCCCTCGTCAATACTACCTGGGACACCGAATTGCTCTCAAGAAAACACTCTGGAATTGAAAAATGACAGGAAAAGATCAACACGATGGCTGGGTGCCGGAGGCAAGGCCTTCCACTGTTTTAAGCCCTGACACTAAGCTCTAGAATAGCTGCAGCTGCAGCCTATAGGACATGGGCATGTGTCAGGCAGGCTGTGAAATGCTGCCTGCTCCCCATGCACGACCTCATTGCTCCCTCACATCACCCCTATGGATTAATCGGGGCTCTTGAGAGACACCACCAACAGGATATCAGCAAGATGGATGAGAGCAGATTTATTAAAGGAATTGGAGGATGAAAAGTCTCAGGACAGGCTTTCTGCAAGCTGGAGCCCCTGGGATGCCAGGAGTGTGACTCAGTTCACATCCAAAAGCCTCAGAACCAGGGAAGTGGATGGTGTAACTCTCAGTATGAAAAGAGCCTGCAGTTGTGGTGTCCACGGGCAGGAAAAGAAGAGTCCCAGCTCCAGGAGAGAAAGGGAGGAAAGCGCCTTTCCTCTGCCCTGTTTCCTCTATCTGGGCCTCAGAGAATTGGATGGGGCCTGTCTCTACTAAAGACATCTTCCTCACTCTGTCCACCAGCTCACACCAATCTTCCTGGGAATACCTGCGGGCTCACTCAGAAACAATGCTTTACCAATTCCTGATGTATTCCTTAAGGCAGCCACGTGGACACCTGAAATTAACCATCGCACCCTGTAAAATGGGTACTATCCCCGCTGGACACCTGAGATAGACAGCTTGAGTACCTTTCTTATGGTGCTTATAGGTTACAGAGTCAGGATTAAAACTCAAGTCTGCAAAGATCAAATTCCAAACTCTACCGTCTCAAGGACTACTGCTCAATGCTGCAGAAGCAGCACTGTATTACACACTGTAGGAGGACTGAAGAGGCACTCGAGGCACGTCCCCTGGTTTAGGGGCCACATCTTAGCTGACATTCATGAAAGGAGTCCCCAGAACCAAGTGTGAATTCGCACACTTTATGTGTGCATAAGCGCTACAGAAATTCTATGAGCAAGATAATTGTAGGCTCAGTTCATATAGAGAAGAGTTTTTGTTTGTTTGTTTGTTTGTTTGTTTGTTTGTTTTTGAGACAGAGATTCACTCTTGTTGCCCAGGCTGGAGCGCAGTGGTGCAATGTTGGCTCACTGTAATCTTTGTCTCCTGGATTCAAGCGATTCTTTGCTTCAGCCTCCTGAGTAGCTGGGATTACAAGCACCTACCACACCACACTGGGCTAAGTTTTGTCCTTTTGGTAAAGACGGGGTTTTGCCATGTTGGCCAGGCTTATCTGAAACTCCTGGCCTCAGGTGACCCACCCACCTCGGCCTCCCAAAGTGCTGGGATTACAGGTGAGAACCACCATGTCTGGCCCGGAAGGTTTTATGAAAACAGCTGTTACCTATTTTCTTGAAAGAAAATGTTTTTACTGGCAGAAAGGTGTTCTTCTACATGTTATATACACAGTTAAATTAGTTAATAACTAGTTGAAGGGTTTTGGGGGGTATGAGGCCCTGGACACCGGTCCACGGGAGTGGGAAAAAAGCCAGGCAGAATAGAAACAGAATTGAGGACGTTTCAGGGAGAGGAGTAAGGAAAAGCGCTAGACTAGCAAGCTGATATGTAATTTTGAATCTTAACTAGATTGAGAATCTGATACAACTCAAAATTTGATAAGAGTAATTGCAGTGAAAAAAAAAATAGAGAAGAGGCCAGGCGTGGTGGCTCACTCCTGTAATCCCAGTGCTTTGTGAGGCAGAGGCTGGTGGATCACCTGAGG